GCTGGTCCCAACGAATTCTTGATATTCGAAGTGCTCTCCACTCAAGATGCTGCCCACATTATCCACTATTGAATGATTCATAATTTCCAGTGGAGTTCTGCAATTTCACAAATATGGCGTGTGGGAGCAACTTTTATCTTTTCTGGAGAGACAAAGAGGAAGGGCAGGAACACTCGGACTGCCTGATGCAGAGATGAGTAGCCACCAAAGTGGAAATGTGAGGCTCCATGCATGTGGACATCTTAGAAGCCACCTGGCAGATCAGACCCCTGTGCAGGAAGAGGTGACCTGGCCTGCTCAGCGGGGATTCGTTAGAATTTCCTTGCAGGACCTGCCCTGTGGCTAAGGGAGCCAGATACCACATGGCCGACCCCCGTGTGTGGCTTTAATTCTAGCCTTGACAGCTTGAAAGACACGCAGGCTGTGTGTGCATGTGTGCCCTCCATCCCAACAGGATGGAGACATGGAAGAGAAGGGGTTGCAGCATGACTGCACCCCAGGATGGGGGAGCGTGCTTTCTCCCTCTCCCTTTGTCTCTCTCCCTCGTTAGTGCACACGCACTCTGAAAAATTAAAAAAGAAAACAAATTTTCCTTGGAAAATATATTCATGAATCTTGAGAAGAAAGGCCAGAGGAAGGGACCCTTACTAAAGCCACTGGTTCTTATGAATTCTTTGGGTTAAAACTTTTATCACACACTCAAGACACAGGTAAGAGCACACAAACACGATTTCATCAACAACAGCGTTTGTGGTGTCGATGCTTAACAGAACCATCACCACTGCTTGGGCTAAAATAGTGACTATCGGAGCCAGCAGAAGGCATAATGGTTACGTCGCTGGACTCCCACATAGTCAACCGTGGTTCAAGTCCCAGGCCTGGCAGCTTGAAACTCATGCTGGATGTGCATGCATGCCCGAATCCTGAGAGGAGAATGGAGGAGAAGGGATTGTGGCGTGGCCATCCCCCCTGGGGGGTGATTTCTTGCTTTCTGTCTCTCTGTCTTTCTCTGTCTCACTGGTGAGCACACGTGCCATATACCAAAAATCTCTCTCTCAAAAGAAAATAGTGACTATTCATGCATTTGAATGTACTACAAAGAAATTCCCAATGACTAGCATGTACAAAAAATGAACTCGAGCTATTTTAATATAGAATAACTTCACAAAATATAAGAATGGTATATCGGACCTAATAAAGACAGCATTTTCATCAATGTGATCACATGTGCATTTGCCCAACACAAATCACTATACAGAATTGTCCTTTGTCAATCCTTTTCTATCCTCGAAATCATCCTAAGACTGATACCCTCAGGAGAAAACGAAGGGTCTCTAATGTGTTTTGGTGGTTGCTGGAGCCGCAGCGCCGGAGAAGTCTCGAGGGAGCAGGCCCTCGCATTGCTGAGTTTTCCCGAAGCCCGAGATGAAGAAGTTGAAACCGTGTTTGATGCAACAGAGTAGGCCTTTGATATCGGAGTGTTGAATTAGAGTTGCCAGCTCCAAGAATAAGCCTCCAAAATGACAGGGCGTAAGAAAAATGGTGGAATTGAAAATTTCGTCACTGAGGCACACTTGACGGGAGTGTCTTTACATTTTTACAGGACCGTAAAGGCAAGTAGCTCTTATGGGGAGGCAGGATATTCGCTCCTTCACTTCCTGCTCAGGAAAAGATGAAGTCCAAGGGTCCAGCTGGCATGTCGCCTGCTGCTGACGGACACTGATTGTGCTGCCGCTTTGCAGCTTTTCACCTAAATACCCGGGATTCACACTGGGCCAGGTCTTGTGCTCTGAAGATGGTGTCACGACTGACTTGGGCTTAGGCCACGCTGGCTCTCTCAGGACCTCTGGCTGTGGTTCCTTTTTATTAGAGAAAGGTGAGAAATGGATTTCCAGTGAGCATGAAATGGGGCTCCTCTGAACAAGTGTTGCACAATTTTCTTTTTGTTAAGCTCAAAGCACTGATTTACAGGCACAAGGAAGATACACTGGGTCACTGGTTGGGTTTAGTCTTCGTCCAGATGTCTGGAGTTTCATTGTTCAGTTTCACAAAAAAAAAAAATCAATGAATTCAGGCTGGCCCCATCACCTAGTGGTTAAGGCAGCTGGATTCCTACATGGCCGACCTGTGTAGTTCAAATCTTGACCCTGGTAGCTTGTAAAACATGCTGGGTACATGTGCATGTGTACCCCAAATCCTGAAAGGGTGGAGACATTCAGGAGAAGGGATTGCGGTGTAGCCACACACCATTGTGGGTGTTTTCTCCTTTTCCTTCTCTCTGGCATGTGTATGCACTCCCTGGCAAAATTAAAAAACAAACAAACAACAAAACAACTGAAAAAAAAAAAAAGGAGAAAAGAAAACATATCCTATACCGCCTCTCCTCTCTCCTGGTACACTGACTAGGACTTCACCCACAATTAAGTGATTATGTTGCAGCAGCCTCCTAACCCACTAGAGAAAGAAAATCGTCCACTTTCTCAGGAGAGGTTTCTTCTTTCCCGAAGCTACACAAGGGATACCCCAGTCCCTGCTGACGGATCTCCTTTCTCAGGGACAAAGCTGCCAGAGCAGCTGTCCTCCGTGCCCTGCTGCCTTGCTCCCGCTCCCACAGAGCAAATTACCGTCAGAGGCACAAGACTGACAGGAAGAGAACTCAGGCTCCTGGCACCCAAGGGAAAACCACAAGTGTGCAGGAGAGCCCCCTGCCCCATGGACCTCTGGCTTTACAGTGACTCTGGAAGCCTGGTGTTCAGTAGGCAAGTTATATTCTCATGGAGGATGGAAGACATTGGAAGCGTGGACCCAATACTGCTTTTTCCTCTTTCAGTCTGGATACCCACTGATTTTTGTTGTTGTTTGGAGAGGTTTTTGCTATAGGGCACATGTGCTCACCAGAAAGACAGAGAGACAGAAAGCAAGAAATCACCCCCCAGGGGGGATGGCCACACCGCAACCCCTTCTCCTCCATCCTCCTCTCGGGATCTTGGGCACGCACGCACACGCGCCCGGCCTGAGTTTAAGCCACTGGGTCCGGGACTCGAACCGTGGTCGACTACATGGGAGTCCAGCAACATAGCCATTACACTACCTGCTGGTCCCCCCACTGATTTCTTAAGGCCAGGGCTGGATGAGAAAGAGGAGGAGGGACTGTCCCACCAACGGAGGGGTACTTGGCAGCCCTGCTGTCCCCCACACTCCCACTCCATTGGTCTATTAGCGCTCTGCCTCCGTTCAGCAAGGACTCCAGTGGTGACTACGCAGGTGGAGGAGCTACCTCGCCATGATGGCCCTGATGTTCCTGTCACTATCCTGTCCCATGAGTGGGCCTGTGTCTCCTCTGCAATTAGAGGTAGAGTCAAGGAGACCACACCCCATTAGAGGGTGCTTTCTCCCTCTCTCTCTCTGGAGAGTGCATGCACCCTCTGGTAATTAGAAGAAAAAAGTATCTTTGGTCACGTGGACAAAATGCTGGTCCACCAAGCACAGCACAGTTTTTCGTGTTAAGCATTTTCTCTTTGTTCATAAGGGCATCTAGAAATAAAGAGATCATAAATAATCGGGGAGGGGGGAGAATTCAGTTTGGAATTTTTCGAATCCTGAAAACCAAGATAAGGTCTTGAAGAATGATAGGAAACTATAGGAAACTAGAACACCATAGTCATTTTTGTAATGGCACTCTGAAAACCTAAAACCTTGGTGCTGTTTTATATCATGTCGAGATATACATATTTCCCGATGAGCTTTTCCTATTGCAAAAATAGGTGAAGAAAGAGCACTCGATTTGGCTTTTCAGGCGCCATCAATACCTCCCGAGGCTTACAGACAAGTGCTGATTGATCTTGTGTTGACTTGCAATTAGTGCCTTGAATTCATCCCTCAGATCAATGTCTTTAAAATTGGCTGTAAGAGGTGGATTTTCAAAGTGATGTATAGGGATTTAATCCCCCGATTCCCATTACTGTAAGAGTGACTAAATCCCCTTGCAGCCAGCCCAAAATTTACCCCCTGCTGTCTCAGAGTGCCAATTAAATAATAAAACCCCAAACCGTGGTCAGATGTAATTAGTTTGAGAATAGAGTTTTATAATTTTCCTCATGCTAAGCAAACAAGTTAACCCCTCTGACGACATATACAGGATAATTTGGACAAAGAAAACATAAATCTTAAGCCTGCGCATTTCTTGTGCCATTCGCTAGGAAGTTGTAATAATGAAAAACTGTGCTTTTATGGAGAATGGGAAAACAAGGAAATAAACTCTGGCTCCAAATATTTGGAAATGCAGGTTTTTTCTCGCCTTTTTTTTTTTTTTTTTTTTTGAATAAACACTTTTAACACTATAGTTGACCCAGGCTTCATCAAAAATGTGTTACTTCTAAAAAATACAATTCTAGTAGGAATGAATTTTAGCTGTGTAGCAGGAAAAGTTATAAAGGAGAAAGGCAGTTATTGGGGCCAGACAGTGGCACAGTAGTAATACAACTGGACTCACATGGGAAAGTCCTGGGTTCACGTCCCAAGACCTCCCTGTTCTTGGCAGGTGTGCATACATATGCTCGTAATCTGTGCTGGCCGAGGCTAAGAGTGGATTGCAGTGTGAAGACTCTGATGGGGTCCTTGCCTCTCTGTCTATGATGGAAGAAATAAACATGTTAAAAAAAAGAAAGTTCTTAAAAGACTGCTATGTGTTTATTAGCCCAAACTACCTCTGAAAGGGTATCAAGCTCTGTGGTCCCCAAAGCAAGCAAAGCCAAGTGCCCTGTCCTGACAGACCATCTTTATGGTGACTCAGAAACACGATTCTATTTTTTTTTTTTTTTCGGAGAGGTTTTTGCTATAGGGTGCGTGCGCTTGCCAGAAAGACAGAGAGACAGAAAATGAGAAATCACCCCCTAGGAGGGATGGCCATGCCGCAACCACTTCTCCTCCATTCTCCTCTCGGGATCTTGGGCATGCGTGTACACATGCCTGGTGTGAGTTTAAGCCACCAGGTCCGGGTCTCAAACAGTGGTTGTGTATGGGAGTCCAGCAACATAGGCATTATGCTAACTTGCTGGTCCCTTAACCACGACTCTATTCTATCACTTTGCTTAGTTTTCCATCTAAGTACTAATCAGGCCCAATCCTGCTTAGCTTCTGAGATCAGATGAGGTAAGGTGCAATCGGGGTGGTATGGCCATAGACCCTCTGCTTGGCTCTTGGAAGCCTCAATAGAACTGAAAGGAACTTTCTGCATTTCTTATCTAGACACATGTGAATTATAAAAGGTGGTGCAGTGGGAAAAGACAAGAGTTATTTGAGTCTAATGATATGGGCTAGAGAAGGTGATGTATTTGTTTTGTTTTTATTGCTGTTTCTGCTTCTTTAGTTCAGTTTGAGGAGCAGAAGATGGGAAAGGGAGGGAGGTAAGAGTAAAAATGAGATGAACAAAAAGCCTTCCCACATAGGGTGACATATCATGCCACTGACCTAATATTCCCATCTTCTTTAGATTAAAATTCTCTTATTTTACTCAACCAAATATTGCAAATGTGACTCTATCGTGTTGGTTTAAGCTGAACAAACCTCACGTACAAGTCAGGGAGCTGACTTGTGTCATTAAAAAACGTAGAGTAGGGATGGCCCATAACCTAGTGGCAAAGGGAGCTGGATCACACAGGGCTGACCACAAGCTGAATTCCAGCTCCAGCTGCTGAAAAGCACAGTGGGCATGTGTGCGTGCATGCCTCGCATCCTGACAGAATGAAGAAATGGAGAAGGGATTGGATGTGGCCATGACCCAGTAGGGGTTGTCCCTTCCTCCTCATGGCGAACACTCCTGTTCTCAAGCAATTGAAAAAACAATTGAGTAAAACAGAGTCTCAGGGTTATTGGTTGAACAAACACCCATGCAGTCATCAATATCAACTTCTCAAGCTTTCTAGTAGGTGTTTTCTGGGGCAATGGTGTGTGTGTGTGTGTGTGTGTGTATACTGGGAAACAGAGAAGACAAGCAGTAAACTATAGTTATAATGAAGAGAAACACATTTTTTTCCATGAAAAATATCAGACTTAGTAAAATGATATTCTGTGGGAGCTATATTCAAAACATTCATAAAACAACAATGTTGCTTCTAAAGAGACTATGAACTAGGAATAGAATACTGATTCAAAGGCATTTTGATTCTTAAGTGTCCTTGTAAAAATATTCATAGAAATTGGTGGACTTTTTTTTTAAACATATAACTCGATTTCTCTCATTTACAACATAAATCATTTAATGTAATATTTGCGACCTTAGAAAGGCAGACATATTTAATCCGAGTCCGTTTATAAATTCCAATTTCACATGGATTAAAAACTGCAGATAAATTAAGTCACAATAATATCCTGTACATGCATTAAGGCTGGTGACTGCTAAAGTCTCTTGGGTATCTACAAACAGGAAATCACACGCAGATTACGGGGTCTGAAGAGTGTCTACGTCATTAAAAAAATCTTGCTTTTTTTCCTTTTTTTGGTGATACAGATTTCAACAGTAACTCTGGAAAACTGTGAAAAATGTTATTTAAAAATATATATGTATATGCTACTGCACAGTTTCAAAGATGTGATTCATAAATAATGTTGGCTGCACGGGTTAATTTTATAACAATTACTGCACTCCCAAGGTGATATGAACACGCAGTGACTTATACTCAATATTAGGCACTAGTAATATCCTTCAGGCGTACTACAGTTTTGTGTTAGCTGTATTGTACATATATATTTTTAAATGTATGTATTTATACAGACTGTGTATATTACGTATGGGGTGTCAGAAATGTACACATCACTGTTATATAATACACACATCATTGTTGTACATACTAGGATAAGTTTTAGTGCAGGAAGTCCCATTGCATTGCATTCTGTGTGTTCAACCTAGTACACAATCTGTCAACTCTTTCTGATGACCTTTTTCCAGCACATTCCTCTTTAGATAGTGGGTCTGCGTTTCTGTTTGCAATTTGGAAGTTTCTAGACACATCTGTCTTAACCAAACCTCTCTCTCCAGGCGCAATTCTGCGCACCAGCCTGATTTGTGTCGAGCACTAACAAATGGCAGACTCTGATCAGGAAGATGTTTGGATTATTCCTGGACTATTCTCTCTCTCAAGGATAATTTTAATGTGAGAAAGAATGGCATCTACTCATGCCATGGAAGCATCAGGTTAGATGGAACTTGTCTTGAACGTCTGAGGAAAGCATATGTCTTCAAATACAAAGAAGTAGTATCAAACATTTTATGTCTAAATGCAAGAGTCTCTGAAAGGCATACGTCCAGCTGTGAGCAGGGTTGTCTCAAGGGGTTGGGAAAACTGAGGGATCTATCTTTTCTACATTTCTGCACTGTTTGAATCTTTACAACGAGCAGGTATGACATTTAAAATCAAAGAACACAAGAAAGACATCTCAACGTGGGAACAGAAAGAAATGAAAGGAGGAAGTTATGAGTGACTTTTCACAAGCAACCATCAGAAGACAGTTCCTTACTGAAATCCTCCACACTGAATCCAAAAGAAACTGCTGCTGCCATGCTCACAGACCAGAGAGAATGAGAGGTGACAGCAGGGACTGCATGCTCTGGTCATCCTATAAGATGACCAGTTTCAAGACGTTTTGTAGGAAACATGTCACCAAAGTGCTGAGAGACATTGCTGGCACAACCAGAGGTCACCTGTTAAATGGGATGCCACAGGGAAGCACATCACATGGATGCCATGACAAAGCCTCCAACTTTAAAGATGGGCGAGCCCAGAAAGTTTCCCTGTCAATTTACGGTTGTCCCCAAGGGTCATTGCTTTATGTGAGTTTGAACATTTCATTGGAATTGATCAAGGGTAAGTAGAACAAAATCTTGGTCCTGCAGAAATCAAAATGATTCAAAATTCATTTAATTTAGATTCAAGTTTCCAACATAGGATGGGATTTGGAACTCTGTCAACAATTAGGTATGGAGCACCTCAGCTGGATGAATGGAAAATGGGAATCATGTTCCTAATTCTGAATGCTTAAAGGCCAAAGACAAATGCAAATCCACAAGCCCTTCACCTGTTCATTTTCAATGAATTTCAGATCACACAATGTTGTCTAATCAGTTGCACAGTCTTGAATTGTTCTTCGAGCTAGGGAGTTAACAGCAATCTAATCTCCTGCCTAGAGCTCGGGCTGACAGAAAATATTAGCATTGCAACCAAACCTTTACAATTATTATTGAAAGTACATTATCAGCATCTATTACAAATATTTTGTACCACTACCACTTTGAAATATTAATTGCTGTAGATATTGTATCACCCGTCTTTCTCAGACCACCCTGGTGCAATTTTGTCAAGTAAGACAACTTGAGGACGTTCTTTTTGTTTTTAAACTCTGGCAATATAAAACTTCTTTTTTTAGGAGTTACTTTCTTTGTACCAATATCTCATATCCAGTATTTCATATTTGACAAGAAGACTTAAATGTAGGTATGACAAGATATCATAAAAGAAACTTCAGACAAAAACTGTAAACGAGATGTAAAAAATGTAAACGTAATAAAAAAAAATAAAAGGAAAAAGAAAAAGAACCACAGGCAAAATGTAAACATACCAAATGCAAAAGGCATAAGCGAGAGGCCATGGTCACTGCTTCCCCAACCAGCAGCAGTCATAGCAGAAGTTGGAAAATATCAAAGCTTGGAAAATATCCCCCAGATTAAAATGGGTCAAAGGCTGGCAGTGGCACTTTCTGCACGATGAGTGAGGAAATCAAATATTGGGTTGTCAGATAAGTCATGGCGTATTTTTGGGGTTTTCTAAGCAAAAAATGCGTCCTGACCTCTCCAACAACTCTAGAGCATTAGGATAGCAAAGCGCTCTCAGCCTGAGAAGAAACAAATGCAGACTCCTAGTGAAAGGACACTAGGACAGGTCCTCATTTGGCCAAGACAGCTTGTAAGACAGCTGCCGTGGAAAGCAAAGACTGGAACATATTGGCCGACAAATGCCGTGTGGCTTTACAGCCACTGAGTCACAGTGGCAGGAAGAAAAATGCGTGTGCCTGGTGGGTTTGTTGTCACAGGTGCAGAAGATTTCCATTCCTAACCGAGCCCCAAATGGCAGCATTGATTTCTGTTAACTTCCAAAGACACCGAGTATTTTTTTTTTTAACCAAATCTCAGTGCCATTTCATATTAGTTGGGGGTGGGGCAGAGAAGGCTTACGGGACCTGACCCATTTGCTTGTAATGTTTTTAGATAATAAAGTCAGATGTGGAGATGGGTAATGGAGGAAGGGCGGGGTGTCTGGTAACATGCAATCTAATAAACTCCTAGTAAACAAAAATAACTGACTTGTTTTCATTATCCAATTACCCATGAATACATACCAATCAAAAAATAATTGGGACACAGTAGATCAATACTGAAAGTCATCAATAGTATAAGAGCTGGGTTCATCTTAACTGGCAGTCGAGCTTTCGATGTGCTGTATTGCACCTGGTTAACTAACCCATGAGATTTTGGTTGGATTTTCTAAGTCATGGTTTAGCACTGGAATAGAAAGCGTGTGCCTGTGATCGTGTGTCTGTATGTGCGTACGTGTGTAAGTGTACTTCCTCCGATCAGGAACTCTTGATCACTCTGTCTAGTTTGGGATTACACAAACTAGACAAAGAAAACGTGTTCTGAAGAGCCGTGTATCTTATACACGCACACGGGCAGCTCCTTATACACGCACACATATAAACACACATGCCCTGGGAAAAGACCACTTTTCAATGCTGAGGGAAGGTTCCGCGCAGTCTGGCCAACGCTGTGGCTGGGGGTTTCAGTAGCACAGTGTCCAGAAACATCGAGCCGTCCGTGGAGCCGAGAGCAGTCCGGCTCAGGGCGTGGTCCCTATGACAGGTGGGCGCTGTTGCGTAGCCAGTGCAGGCCCTGCTGGGAGTACTGGACCAGGTGCTCCATGCTGCTGTGCAGGGTGACAGGGCCCATGAGCAGGTCCAGGTCGTTGAAGAATTCTAGGGGACAAAGAGAGTTGTTCAGAGGGCCACACATGCTAGGCGTGCTACCCCGAGCCAGACCTGAGTGCCTTAGGAAAAACTCTATTTAGGGTCTTACTTAAGTCAAAGATTCTCTGGCCCACCATGTGACTTGAGCTTTCCCTGAACAAAATGAAATCCAAGGCTGAGGAACTCGTCCTATATTCCAAGTAAATAAATAGACGAATTATACCTGCCATTTCTAATTCAAATGAATATTTACTTAGCAAAATGGGGAAAAAATATCCACATCCTCAGACTGCATCTGCCTGGTGCAGTAACGCTTCCCCCCCGAATGTCAATGAGGCCAACTGTGATGTGTGCTGAGCCCTGGGGTGAATTCAAGGGCTGAGGCTCCAGGTACCTGGGGCTCAATCAGAGATGCGTCCTGAGACCTCTCAATTGAGGTTGTTTTCTAGCTTTGGGATATTCTCTGGGCTTGCCCTTTCATTAAATATCTATCATCTATCTATCTATCTATCTATCTATCTATCTATCTATCTATCCATCCATCCATCCATCCATCTATCTATCTATCTATCTATCTATCTATCTATCTATCTATCTATCTATCATCTATCATCTATCATCTTTGAGAGCGATTTCTGCATGTGCACTTGCTGCAGAGACAGAGAGAGACAGAGAGAGAAAGCGAGAAATTACCTCCCTCCCAGGGGGAAGGCCACACCGCAAACCCTTCTGCTCTATTCTCCTGGGATTTGGGGCACGTGTGCCTGAGCCCAGCATGAGTTTCAAGTCTCTGGGTCTAGGACTGGAACTGTGGTTAGCCATGTGGGAGTCAGCACCTTAACCACTCTGCCACCCAGTGGCCCCTCATTAAATACTTATTAGTTACCAAGGTCCTCTGCTAGGTGCTGGGGGCAGAGGCAGAGGAGGGTGCCACGATCAAGGCTGTGTGGGCTCTGCTCCCTCAAAGATCACAGCTAAGTGGCTGACAGAGGCAAACGGATTTGCACGGTTACTCTGCTGTCAGAGGGTCACTGGGTCACACACTTTTTTGAAGGTGCTCACAGTTATGCTGAGTGAAGTCCTGCTGGGGAGGGGAGGGGAGGTCAGGGAAGCTCCAGGCTGCAGATGGCTAGGAGGACAGCCATGGCCAGAGTCCGGGAACAGGCTGGCTGGGGAGTAACTGTGAGTTTGCATTGGACCTGTGGCACTGTGCCCTCTGCTGGGGGACATCTAGCAGGCAGCTGGCAGTGCCATCTGGAGCCTGGCCTCCTCAGGGTCTCCCAAACTGGACATGGATATTTCTACACATTTGTCCCTTCTGTTTTGTCTGCCTGTGACACCCACCCCACCCCATTTCAACCACTCAACTGCTATGTGCTTTTCTTTTTAAAGAAGTTTTTTACAGAACAATCGTTACTCTGATTTTTCAGTACATGAATATCATGTCTAAGATTAAACAGGGCAGTGAGTACAGCTGTCATCTCAATTGCTCGTACCATTATACACCGTCAAAGTTGGTACCCAACTGCAGTAACCAGTCCTTACGTGCTTTCGAAATCCTGTTCCAGGGCCAGCCAGTGGCAAGGTGGTTAACGCAGTTGGATCTCACATGGCCAACTGCACAGCTGATGTCCTGGACCCGGCAGTCCGCAAAACACACTGGGTGCGTGTGTGCCCAGAATCCCAAAGGAGAAGCGGAGGGTAAGAGGCTGCAGTGGGGTCACCCCTCATGAGGGGCACTTTCTCACTTTTTTTCTCTCCAGCACGTGCATGTGCCTTCTGGCAAAATTCAAGAGAAAACCCAAAAACAACAACAAAAATCTTGGCCCATGTGAGCTCTGCTAACGAGCTCTGCCTGCAGGGCTCTGGCCTTTGTGGCTTCCCATTGGACCTGCAAGGCACATCCCCTCTGGGCTGCGTTTAATGACAATCTCGTGCACTCAGAATTCCTCTGTGCCACACATTCCTCGTCCTGTGGCTCGTCCCACGGCTCTGGTCCTCGGAGGCCTGCACCACCACAGGGACATCATTTGAATTTACTGGCTCGAAATCAGATGTGAACTCTCACCCGTTGCTGGAGAAAAAGGAATCACCTGGTGTAATCGTTCAGGAGAAAAATGAACACTACGCATGAATTTTAGAAGAATCTATACCTGTGGACATCCAAATCCTGTTAGGTCATCAGGAAAGTCATGACATATTTTTTTTTTCTTTTTTAATGCAAAAATGTGTCATGACTTTCCCGATGACCCGATACATCCACACCATTCTCCTAAGCACATAATCAGAAACATGGACAATGACTTAAAATTTGCCAGAGAGTACATGGACTCTCCAGAGACAGAGAGAGAGAGAAAGAAAGAGAGAAAAAGGAGAGTGAAAAAGTACCCCCTGGGACCAGTAGATGGCACAATAGTTACACTGCTGGACTCCCAAGTAGTTGACTGTGGTTTGAGTCCCGGACATGGCGGCTTAAAACTCAAGCCCGGCGTTACGCGTGCGAGCCCAAAATCCCGTGAGAAGAATGGAGGAGAAGGGATTGCTGTGTGGCTATCCTCCCTGGGGGGCGATTTCTTTCTTTCTGTCTCTCCATCAAGCACATGCGCCTTATAGCAAAAAATCTTTCTTTAAAAAACAAAACAAAACAAACAAAACCCCACCAACCCTGAGGAATGATCATGCTATAATCCTTTCTCAGTTTCTCCCTCCTTTTAGAATTTCGGGCACACACACATTGCCAGGACCAGGACTTGCACCTCACAGTAAGTTACGAGGGTTACAGATGTCTTGACCACCATGCCACAGGCTGGCCCGAAAGCTTTTGCTTTCAACATTATTTGTCACAGGGAAAACAACTAGAAGTAACCTTAATGTCTGACAAGAAGGAATGAGCTGCGAAATATGACACTTTAATTATATTATGTTAGTATTACCAAACCATCATAAAAGGCCAGCTGGTTGGTTGGCCAGCCGGCGGGCAGGCCCTTCCTTCCTTCCTTCCTTCCTTCCTTCCTTCCTTCCTTCCTTCCTTCCTTCCTTCCTTCCCTCCCTCCCTCCCTCTTTCTTTCCTTCTTTCTTTCTTTCTCTCTCTCTCTCTCTCTTTCTTTCTTCTTTCTTTCTTTCTTTCTTTCTTTCTTTCTTTCTCTCTCTCTCTCTCTTTCTCTCTTTCTTTTTTGTAGAGGATTTTGCTTTAGGGTACATGTGCTTGCTGGAGAAAAAGAGACAATAAGAGGGAAAGTGAAAAATCAACCCTTGGGGGATGGCCACACCACAATCTCTCTTCCTCCATTCTCTTCCCAGGATCTTGGGCACATGTACACATACGAGTGCCTGGTAAAGGGTATTTTTGAACTAGTTAGTAACATGAGCAAATGCACGATATAATGCTAAATGAAAAGAAGATAGGCTGTAACAGTGGACATATGCAATGATCATATTTTTGTATGACTGGTATGTTTGGAGGAGAAAGAGGAGAAGAAACTGGTAAATGTTAACACTAGTTATTTCTTGGTGGTAAGATAACTGATGATTTAAAAATCTTTTTTCTCTATAGGTTTTTAGACTTCACGGTAAGTGTGCATTACTTTTATAATGAGGGAAAATAAACATTATTTAACAAATATAAAGCTTAGGACCAGCAGATGGCATAATGGTTACGTCATTGGCCTCCCACATAGTTGACTGCGGTTTGCGTCCCGGATCTAATAGCTTAAAACTCACTCCAAGTGCATGTGTGCCCCAAATCGTGAGACTGGAGGAGAAGGGACTGTGGTGTGACCATCACCCCAGGGGGTGATTTCTCATTTTATGTCTCTCCAGTGAGCGTATGGGCCCCATAGCAAAAATCTCTCTAGAAAAAGAAAATCTACCTCTATCTATCTATCTATCTATCTATCTATCTATCTATCTATCTATCATCTATCTTATTGCTACTTGTAAAACACCCTCTTGAGTTGTAAGCAGCTGGCACTTAAAGAGCTAGCAATATTCTTATTCATTAATGAAATTTACTCATTCATTAATTCACTCAATGTTTTAGAGACCCACCTTTATTCTAAGCACTGGCTAGGTCTTAGAAGTACAAAGTAAAATAAAATATAATCTCCACCTTCCAGGGGCTCACTTTCTACAGGGAAATACACGTGTGTATCTCTGTCTCTGTGTAGTAAGGGAGGAGGGGAGAACACGTGTGCATCTCTGTCTCTGTGTATCTCCTAGCCACCTCACACCATCGTCCACAGTAAGGGAGGAGGGGAGAACACGTGTGTATCTCTGTCTCTGTGTATCTCTGTCTCTGTGTATCTCCTCGCCATCTCACACCATCGTCCACAGTAAGGGGGAAGGGGAGACAGGCATAAGAGGCCTTGAGTGAAGAGAGAGGTCAGGAGAGGCTTCACGCAGCAGGTGACAGCTCCTGGCATCTCTCCCCCAGTGAACCCCAGAACAGGTGGGCCAGGGCCAGGCCCCCCGGGGCAGAGCCCTCACCTCTGTTTTCTTTGGCCAGGCTGTCGGCCATCTCCCAGTAGTCGTAGCTGTGGAGGATGCTGTTGGTGATGCTGACGTGATTGGCCGCCATCTGGTGGATGCGCTGCGGGATGCTGACGATGGGTGACGGGGACAGGGCGCTGGTGTTGGAGAGGCTGCCCTGAGACCCCACGGAGCTGGTGGGAGAGGGGTTGGGAGACATGGGGGATGGGGTTCCAGTGCTCCTGGAAAGGGAGAGGCAGAAAAACCAGAGAGGAGAGGTCGGGACGCGGTGAGGCGGGGCAGCAGCTCAGGGCACAGAAAGCGTCATGCAAGTCTGGCTTACGGCGTTTACTTTGGAAAAGCGAACTTACTTTCCACTGGCCCCCCATGGCGACGGGGCTTGGGCAGCTTTAGATGAATTCTGCAAGAAAATAAGAGCGTTGACAGTGAGTGCCACCTGCCTCGGGCTAAACAGCTGGCCTTGGATACAAGTCCTGGGGTAACGGCAGACGGGGCAGATCGGACGCACTCATAGAAACTGGGTCTACAGAGTCGCAATCCCAAGGCTGTCTGCTCCTTCTTGGGATGCCGGTCCAGGGCAGGCGCCTGACTTCCTGGGTCCCACAGTAGGCTAAGTTGAAGGGCCTGTCTTACGCTCTGCATTTTAATTTATGTACAGATTTTAGGTACCAAATTAAATCATAACCCTAAAGCCCTATTAAATCCTGAATTGGCCTGATTTTTTTTCATCATAAATTAGTCTAATTTTTCTGAAAGGGAACAAAGAGCTGGAACTCACCTCTCCCTTGTGAATACTTTATTTTTAAACGTAAGAATTGTCTGCAGAAACCATTGACATGCATTTACTTAATGTCTGAAAATATATAGGACATTGAATTCTATCATTCATTCATTCATTCATTTAGCTATAGGGCACATGCACTTGCTGGAGAGAGAGAGAGAGCGAGAGAGCGAGAGAGCGAGACAGAGAGAGACAGAGAGAGAGAGAAGGAAATGAGAAATAATCCCCCCCTGGGGGAGGGGGTTAGCCACACCAAAAACCCTTCTTCATTCTTCTTTTGGGATTTTGGACACACATGTACATGAGCCTGGTGTGATTTTTCAAGCTGCCGGGTCCAGGACTAGAACTGTGGTTGGCCATGTGGGAGTCTAGCACCTTAACCACCACACTACCTGCTGGGTTCTTAAATTCTACTGTTTTAACTTAGGAAGTTGAAAACTATTTATCTTTTTAAAGGAAGCTGCTCTTGATAGTCCTAAAAATATTTGTAACATATATTTCCTTAACAGACAGGGAATTGAAAGTCCTGATTTGTCTGAATATTCTGATTTACGGTGTTGTGGTGCATAAGCCAGTCGTCTGCATCAGGCATTTAAACAAGTTTTGCCTTCAGCAGGGCTAGATGCACAGGTAGATGTCCCTCAGACAGAAAGACGCCTATAGGATTGTTAAGGAGGAAAAAGGGTCTTTGGGACACTGATGTGAATTTCCCTTTTCAGAGAGAAGAAAATAGCCCAGCCTGGTTCCTCAGAGACTGTGGATTTCTTCTGGTTAAAAGGAACTTTATAAAGTAGTGACCGTTCTTTTCAGTTTTAGTGCCACGATGATCAAAATCTCAAGACACGGCCTGACAGGACTCAGAGGCACTTCAGCAATGGCAAGGTGCACGCACAGGACCGACTTGCAAACCATGCCACATGGACCTGTCTTGGGGCATGAGACTACTTCCACGGAGAACGTTAGACAGAAAACCCTTGGCTCTCCTTTTTTCTTATGAATGGGGTAAGAGAAAGAGAGAGGGGGATTTTCGACAGGGTCTCACTATGCAGTGATTCCCTGCCCCTAGCATTATAGGTGTGCCTGGCTTGTTCAGGGAGGTCTAGGAGCCAAACCCGGGCCTCTCGTGCACCCCCCGCCTTGCACAGTGGCACCCTACTGCCTGCGCCACTTTAGGTGGGCCAGAAAACCCCTTTTCTAACCCAAAGCCAATTTTATAATGAAGTGCTGAATATTTTACGTAATTTGTTGAATGCTGTACTGAAAACGAAAAATGGAATGGCTGTATGAGTATTCCATGTATGGTTGTCTACTGAATGGATACTGCATTCTTTTTTTAAAAAAATATTTAATTTCATCTGTTATTATTTTCTAAATTTGACCAGAGAGATACAGAGAAAGAGAGAAATGGAAAGTGAGAGAGCAAGTCACCAGGTCTGGGACTCAAACTGTGGTCGACCAAGTGGGAGTCCAGTGCCTTAACTATCATGCCACCTGCTGGCCCCCTGGATATTGCATTCTTACCACTGTAAAATTTCAAAATCCTAAATGGGTGACTGGCCTCGTGGTCTGTTAGGTGGTTGGGGGGGCCAAATCTCACGTGGTCCATCACATGGTTTGAATATCAGCCCTAGGCTTGGGAAATACACCAGGCACAGGTGAATATGTGCCCAAGATCCTGACAGGGTGGAGAAATGGAGAAGGGACTGTGGCCTGATCATGTCCCGTTAAAGGGTCCTTTCTCTGTCACCCCGTGTCTGTCTCTGTCACTCTCTGTTGAGTGCACATGCCTACTGGCAAATTAAAAAAAGAAAAGAAAAATTGTAACTGGGACCATTGTAAGTCTGGTACTATTTATATTTGAAATTCACTGAGAGAGATTTTAAATGTTCCCACTGCGAAAATGATGAGCACGTGAAGTGATGGATGTGGTAATTATCTTAATTTAATCATCCCGCTATATATAAATAAATATATATATATATATACACACACACACACACATATATACACGTATATATACACATATATATACACACACACATATAAATCATAAATACCTATTGAAATACATGAATAAAATTGTGTCTACTCTGGTGAAGTCTCTCATTTCTTCAGAATCATTTTGAATATGATGCTAGCTTCAGCTTGGTGCTTATTAAATGAAAGAGAGATCTAATTGTTCTCAACATTTTCTATTCCATATAACCCTAGTGAAATCTACTTGTATCTTGTTTCATAAGATCAGACAAAATAAAATGTTAAGCACAGAAGTTCCAAGTGTAGAAAATTACTTTTTATGCCTTTTGGGAGGATGTCTAAATGAGAAAATGTACTTCTGTTTAAAAATGGATGGATTTTTTTTTTTTTTTTTTTTTTTTTTTAAAAGGAGCATCCCGCTATATATAAATAAATATATATATATATATACACACACACACACGCATACACACACATATCAAAACATTACATTATACACCATCAATATACATAATTTATCATTGGTCAATTAAAAAAATTAAAGACAGCCTTTGATTAAGAGTAAATGCCAGTAATCCCCAGAGTGGAAAGTGGCTTTCAGGCTGTGTGTTCAGTGTGCATATTCACGGGGACTTCTTATATCCCTCCCATGCTCTGTTGTAACCTCTCGAGGCTCTTAGAATTCAGTTTCTTTCTTATTCAAGCATTTTTCTGGGCTGTAATACTCTCTTCAATGTAAGCTCTCAGATTCTGAATTTCTGAAAACTCCTGATCTCGGTGTTAGGTTTTCAAAATAAAGGAAGGGCTCCGAGCCGGCTCTGCCTTTGTGCCACGGACGGTCAAAGGCCAACACAGCTGTCCCCCTGGCTCTGTATCTGGTTACTCTGCACAGCTGGGGGGAGGCGGGATGCTGGACCTGGGCCAAAGGACCCCCGGCAGAGCCTGGTCATCAGAGACAACCTGTACAGGTAGAAGCTGGAGGAGAGGACCTGCGGGCGGTTATCTGACAGAGCGCTGGTGAAGGCAGAGACGGCGCCATTCTTGTTCCTACGAATAGACAAGAGGCCTGGAAATCACAAGTGATTTAGTAACTGAAGGTCCGCTTCACAACGGTACCTCAGAGAGGTATTTTTTTATTTTTTTATTCTCCCAGGGAAAATAAGTTCATGTTCTAAGTAAAATTTGGCAGGATTTATAACTTTGTCTAGCTACATACATTGTTATCTAGTGCCTCTGAGTTTCAGCAAGCCGTTTCTTACTGTTTCAAATAATACCTTTATTAAAAATTAAATTAGCTACTAGAGACTAGCTAAGAGGAAACAGCTTTTAGCAGTTATTTCTAAGGGAAAAAAAGCTCTAAGTGAACAGAGAAATTTATGTTAGCTATAAAGGTGAATTTCCTAGAACACTGGAATGAGTAACTGGATCTTCTTTCTCCTGAGGTCATAAAAATACTGGAAGGCAGGGATAAATCAGATGGGCTCTCAAGGGCCATTCTCTGATCCTGAAAGCTACGAGGGCATCCTAAATGGAGTCAGTCTGGAGAACAGGGGTGACCTGGATCAGCCTCAGGACAACGGCTTCTACACGGCCGCTCTAAAAGGTCCTTAACGGGAGCCATGTGGGGACAGGGACAGTGTTGTTCAGTAGCCAGACAGTACCTTAAAATAGTCAATGAGCGCTTTGGAGTACTTGACGGCGTGGTCCCTTTTGAGTCGAAACATCCGCCAGTACAGGAGGGCGAGGCATCGGTAGCTGCAGCAGGAAGACAAACGCAGCGAAATGACTGTCCCTTACGGACGAGACTTAAGAAAAAACCTTGTTCTGAGGCACTCAGTATTTAGACCACGTCTAGATGTCTAAAATCTTTGTGTATGCACATCTATATCTGTGCGTGTCTCACATTCCTTTTGTCTAAAATATATGCTTCGAGATTTCAAGGAGGTGCTCCATAAATGTATTTCCCAGTAGATCAATATTTACAGAATTAGCTTTACAGCGTCTCGGTTGGGTAACAGGGGCGGGCCGCTTGCTTCGTCCACCACTAGAGGGCAGTCTCTCTCCATGAGAGGCGGGAGGGAACCCGGGCAAAGCTTCCTGGCTCCCCGGGTGAGCTGCAGGCTTTGCAGCTGGTAATAGCCCTCCCACCGTCTTTACTTGCTTGGCTTTCTAATTATTTTACTGGACTATAACTAGTTCAAATCAAGCAACAAATATGAATGTGCTTTTATTAACAATGAACACCCTAATTTTTATTGCTTTCTGTACTATTTTGTATACTTATTTACATAGCAGTATTCTTACATAATATTATTAACTGTCAGTAACTTATTACTCCAATATTTAACATTTGTAAGAGTACAGAAAGACTTTCCTGAGACTTGTCCTCTCTTCCTTGGTGCTCTTCACTTGCGTTAGAATTATTTGCTAACTCGGATCCGGAGTTGACGTGCCAGGCTGTCAACACACCAAACACAGCTCGGCAGTCTGCACTCAGCACACCTAACGCCCGGTGCTGTGATGCCGTGGGACAGCCCAAGACCTCTCTTTCATGTACGTCACGGTTGTGTTTGGACTCAATTCTCTAACGTGAAGCTGAGGTCCCAGAGTAGAATATAAACGTTTGGACAGAAAAAAAACGTCGCATCCCTTTTACAGGAGAGACCCACAGAAAGGCACCCTATGATTTGGGGAGAGAGGTGAGGTGTCCTGAGGAGACACGAAGGGGAAAATCACTAGTATTAGACAATCCTTATTACTGTCAACGTCAGAATATAGATTGGTTACCATTTTGAAATAAATGATTGTATTATCAAAGAATACTGAACTGCTCCTCAGCTTAGTATGTTTGGAGAACTTTAGTGATTCTCATTTCATTTTTAATAGTTTTGCCAGAGGGCATGTATGTGCACTTGTCAGAGAGAAATGGAGACAGAGCGAAGCTGGCCGCTTCCCATGGGGCGTGGTCATGCTGCAATCCCTTCTCTTGCATTTCTCCATTTTGGCACACACCTGGCATGTTTTTCAAGCTGTGGGGGCTGGCATTCGAACCTGATGGGCAGTCATTTGGGATCTAGCTCCCTTCACCACCAGGTCATGGGGCTGGCCCAGTGTAATCACACATGTAAACGGAAGAAAAATTCCAGGCAGCACAATTTGCATCCAAATGACTAAAACACAGACCTATCTGTTTTTAACACACACACACAGAGGCATATAGGAAAAAAAAATTATCCTTGTGTAAACAACCTGCAGACTTGGAGCCACAGTGAGCTCAGTTTAGCAGGGCAGGGTAGCGAGAAGTGGTCTGACCTCTCCCTGGGTTCGAACTGCGCAGGCCCGTGCAGGTGAGAGGTGTTAGGAAAACGCCATACAGGTCAGAGCACCGGGACAAGGCTCGGGGCTGAGGATTCTATTCTAGGTTGAGGTGAGGCACTCACCATAACGCAGCCAGCTGTTTGTCTTCTGGTGTGGCATTAGGGCCTGAGTGAGTTTTTAGTCTCATCGCATACCTAACAGATTAGGGAAAAAAGAAAAATGGGAAACAAATGAGGAAAAAAGCTTTCTTTTTAACAACACTCCCTTTTCTGTGACAGTAATTCTCTCTGCCCGACGTGTAAGTTTTTCCTAGCACTTGGACAAGTCCTTCTTCAAAGCTAGCGACACTGCTCATCTCTCCCAAGCGTACAGCTCCGGGATGGCTGGTGTGAAATGCCTTTTATGGTGCCTGGCTCTGCTCTGCTCTTCAGCGATACGAGTTCCAATACTGAAGATGGTTGAGCGGGATCCCAGCTCCCCAACTCTGCACGTACACAACAACGCTGCCTGTTTTCCCCAATTCTGATTTACGGCTGAGCGGCTGGTAGATGGCCCAAGTTCAACCCTTCCGGGCTGACCTCCAAAGAGTTTTCATCCCCGGTACTCAGGGGAACGCTGACGTTTACCCCTTCTTCTTCATTATGTCTCTCTGACTTTGACAGTAGTGGAAGTGCCCCGGGTACATTTTTAATCTATCTTTGCTTCCCCACACAAGTGCTGTGAGAAACTAGTGGCTTTTATGGACTGCACTGCATTCCATTTATCCCTCGAAACCAGGGAGGCCACGACCATCACTTTCTGCCCATAGCATACTAAGTTAAATGCAGAGCTGAAGCAGTGCAAATATGCCATGGTCAGGGAGTCCTAGGTTCACTTCCCAGCTCAGCTACTTCTTAGTCATGAGAGCTGAGATAAAGGTATAACGTTTTTAAGCCTCCACTTCTTCATCTGTAAAATAAGGCTGATACTGCCGATCACGTGGCATTGTTGGAAAGATTAAACCAGATGGCGCTTGGCATGGCAGGCTGGCTCCCAGGACACTGCCTAAGGATGGACACTGTATCATCACACCATCTCCACAACGAGCAGATCTGGAGGGTTCCTGACTGTATATCTAGCCATGGTTTTTTGTTTTTTATTTTTTTTATTTTTTGAGAGGTTTTTGCTATAGGGTGCATGCGCTTGCTAGCCAGACAGAAAGAGGCAGAGAGACAGAAAGTGAGAGATCACCCCCCAGAAGGGATGGCCATGCCACAATCCCTTCTCCTCCATTCTCCTCTCGGGATCTTGGGCATGCACACACATGCGCCCAGCTTGAGTTTTAAGCCACCGGGTCTGGGACACGAACTGCGGTCGACTACATGGGAGTCCAGTGACATAGCCATTATGTTAACTGTTGGTCCCACAGCCACAGTTTTCATAGTGGTCGCCCTGAACATTATAATAGACATAATACGACTCATCATGAGTTACTGGTATCAACATTTCATCACTTTTATAACAGAGTGTGCTAGAGAGACAGAGGAACGTCCTCCATAGGGTCTCACCATGCAGAGATCTCCTTTCCCCAGCCTGTCTGGTTCTTGGGCACCTCCGAGTGCCCAGCATATTTTCAGGCTAACTCAGGGATCTGAACCCACAAGAGCCACATGGCTTCTGACACTGCAGTCCATTAAGCTACAACTGTACTCACTTTGAGTGAAGTGTAGAAGCCTGACTTCCATTTAGGTGCCTTTACCTTCCCCATTTAAAAAATTACTTCATTGGGACCAGCAGATGGTGTAACGGTTATGTTGCTGGACTCCCACATGGCTGACCATGGTTTGAGTCCTGGACGTGGAGGCTTAAGACTCATGCTCTCTCTGTGTGTGTGTGTGTGTGTGTGTGTGTGTGTGTGTACCCAAAATCCCAAAAGGAGAATGGAGAAGAAGGGATTGCAGTGTAGCCATGCCCCCTGGGGACATGCCCCTCGCTTTCTCCCTGTCTCTCTGGCAAGTACACACACTCTACAGAAAAAAAATCTCTAAAAAAAAAAAAATTACTTTATTAATGGCACAGGGGGAGAAAGAGGGAGAGAGGGAGAGAGTCAGGGACCCACAACAGGGTTTTGACTCACCATAATCCTCCCTCCAGCCTTCCAGACAGCCAGGATCATGGCACACCTGGCTTATTCAGGCCGACCCAGAATTGGAACCTTGGGCCTTTCCACATGGCTCTGGCATTGCTCAGTGGCGCCTGACCACTTGTGCCTCCACGGCCGGGCCCTTTCTCCACCTTTAAACATTGCCCGAAGTACCGGAAGGAGGTATAACTTCTGCTTCTATCATCATACGTGATTTACAGAACGCATGAGGAACGACTTGTTGAATGTATTTATAGTTCTTTCCTCCTTTTCAATGTGCCAAGATGCCTTCTTTAGTCATTTCTTTCTGTTTGAGCAGCTTCCATTAGCCAACAAAACAAATACTTTGTTTTCTTTAGACTGGAAATAGCTTTATTTCCCTTTATCCCCACAGAATAGTTTTATTAAAAACAGAATTTACAACTTGATAGTTCTTTCAGCACTTGAAAAACGTCATGACACTCCATTCTGGCAGCTGTGGCTTCAGATGGGAAGTCTGTTGGTCCCTTGCAGGTAATGTGTCATTTATCTCTGGCTGCTTTTGAGACTATTCTTTTGTTTTTAGTTTTTGAAAATAATATTATGCTGTGTTTTTGCCATTTATTTGCTTGGGTTTATCCTATTTGAGTTTTCCTTAGCTTCTTAAATCTGTAGGTTTCTTTGTCCACATTTGGCAAGTTTCAGTCATTACCTCTTCAAATATTCTTCTAGTCCCACCCTCCTTTCCCCTCCTTCTGGAACTTCAATGATACAACTGTTAGGTCTCCTGTTACTGTGCTTGAACCTCTATCTAGCCATCTATCTGTCTGTCTGTCTCTCCGTCCATCAATCCAGTCTATGTCATCTCCTGGTGGGGGGCGGTGGCCACACTGCAATCTCCTCTCCTCCATTCTCTTCCTGGGATGTTGGGCATGCATGCACATGTGCCTAGCATGGTTTTTCAAGCCACGGGGTCTGAGACTCGAACTGTGGTCAGCCATGCGGGAGTCTAGTGCCTCAACTATTATGCCACCTACTGGCCACTATTTTATTCCATTTTAAAGATGGGGTCTTGTGTGCTGTGACCCTCCCTGCCGCAGCCTCCAGGCTGGACCACGTGTGCG